TGAGGTACCAAGGCCAAATTTAGTCACACACACACACACACACACACACACACACACACACGCCTACCTAGCTTCTAATATACCTAGGTATACCTAGACCTTTGAATGTCCACCTGTCTCCATGACAAGTTTTATACAAAGCTTTTTGAATCCTTTTCTTTTCTCATCTCAGCCTGTTCCTAACAAGACAAGTTTATCACATCGAAGCAAGATTTGTTTAAAAAGTCTTATCGAGCTCCCCACCGACTGGCGTACAAAGTAACTTCTGACATACGACTTCTTTGTGAACCATGGACAGCCCGTTTCAGGACACCGCCACATTTACAGCCCAGAAAAGGCTTTTCCCACCGAGGAGGCGGGATCCCTCCCTCCTTTTCGTCCCCAAGTACCGTTTGTCCCACTACATAAAAGAAAAAAACAGTAAGTTCACTCAAAAAGACATCTCAGCTTGTGTATCATGTTTGCCCATTTGGAAAATGAGAGATAAAGAGGTTGGAAGTTTTTTCACACGGCTATGCCAAGGGCAGCAGTGCGAACCTGGCCACCTTTGGGTGCAGACAACCAGTGGAAGTGAGGGGAGCTGGGTGGCAGGGGTGTAGAGTCGCCTTGAACCGGCCCTTCTAACATTTTCTCTCGGGGCTTCTTGAGTCTTTGACCACCCGGTGTGTGGCACTTGCCACAGGAGCCCTGGGGGTCCAGTCTGGGGCAACGGCTCAGAGAGGCAAAGTGTGGAGTCCATAATTGTGCAGATGGCAGCCAGGCCAGTTGTGTGAGCTGATCCTGCACAGCACTGCCTTGTCCACCAGGAAGCTTCTAGGCAGTAGGTCTTGGGGTGGGAGAGCTGATGGGAAGAGAAGGGGGTGAGAGTGAGGCAAACCTGGATGGGCGCCTCAGTCTGCCACTTACTAGCTGCCAAGTACAGGCACCATCCGTTCTCCGAGCTTTTTTAGAGAAAACAGTCTATCCCAGAGGATAGCGGGGAAGACCACTGGTGGAGGACTCCAAGGTAGCTCCCTCTGCCTTAGTCTTTGGACTATGTTATGGACGATGTTGGAGAGTGGTGGGAAATAAAATTAACATTTCAAAGGAGAAAGGAACCTGGTGAGAACTCGGGGCTCACCAGGCATGATAGTGCATTCTGTAATCCCAGCAGAGGCAGAGGCCAAAACTACACAGAGAAACCCTGTCTCAAGAAGAAGCAGAACAACAACTACAACAACAACAACTCAGGGCTCTCTCCTTTGATCCCAACACTCTGCAGATTGTACTGGGCACCTCAGAGACTGGCACCGGTGTCTCTTGATTAAAGCGCCCTGGGAAGGCCTCAGAGACAGGAGGCTTTGTCTTACTGTGAAGACGAAATTCGCCATCTGACATTATAGGATGAACCTATTTCATGCTGGGACTTTACCCAGACTCTACTTGGTCCACTCCTGGTTTGCTGTCTTACAAAGTTGGCTTGAAAGGCCAGCCCCCCTGAGAAACCTCCAAGAGAATCAAAATCTGAACTCAAAGGAGAAAGTTCCTTAAAAATAGACACTTAGGAGTCACACAAAAATTTTGATAGCATTACTAATTCTACATCATAAGACCACAGGAAGAATCTTGAAAAAAAAAAAAAGTTGTTTAACCCAAAGCCAACTCTTGACTTTGGGTAGATGGAAAATGGAGTTACCGTTGCAGTAAATGAAGAGGCCATCGCAATGGTGTCCTGACCCCAAAGATACAGCCCTCTCCACCCAAGATCCATGGCACCACTAATGTTTGAACAGGACACCGACTTCTCTGTTTATTAAAAGCTCCACAGGGACAACACCTATGCTTAGTCTATTTCACTGACCAATGTCTACGGCAGCTCCTGCAGTGTGATTGGCTCATGACAGGTGTAGGTTCGACAAATGAGTGCCTGGGAGTAGAGGGCAATGGTCACATATGTGGATAGGGAGGAGGAACACGGGGACTTCTTTTACCTACAAAAATTTTCCTCACTGGCCCTGTGTCCACTTGCCATTCCGGGCATTGCTCAATCCCCTGACCTGAATCTATCACCCCACACAAGCTTTTGTTCATATCCCCATAGGCTTGTTCCTATAGACAAGGACAATCATGCTGTCTCGCTCGATACAATATTTCTCACTGAAAATTAAGAGGCCGATGCTTCATCTTAGGTAATTGGCTCACTTCCCAGTAGAAATCTCAGGAACAGAACGCCAGCCAGGGTGGACCCTGCAGGAAAGAGCTAAGAATGGTATATAGGAGACATGAGTCCAGACCTCACTCTGCTCTTGACTTGAAAAATTACTCCTTCGGGATTCCGTTTCCTCGGAGACATTTTTAACTCGATAACATGACAAATGCAGTCCTTTTGTCTCTCAAGTTAGGATCTATAGACATTAAGATATTTTAGGGTTTTGTGAGAGAGGCAGCTGAAACTGGAGGTGCACATCACAATATCGCAGCAAAATTGTGAGTTCTTCTGGGTTATGGGGTCAGCATTTCTTCCGGGGTAAGTTATCACCCCTTAGAGAAGACAGCTGGCATCCTCATCAGAAACGCAGAGACACCGGTTAAGGGGACCTCCCAGGGAAAATGGGCATCACCCAGCAAGTCCTTCCACAATTGTGGAAGTTTACAGGTGTGTGAGTGTGGGGAGCCAGCAGAGGGTGCGGGAGCAAAGGTGGGGCCGGGGGTAGAAATCTGAAGGCGATAGACAGGTGTCGAGAGCACAGGTTTGGGAGTCGCTCCAAACCATAAAGGGTTGGCACCCTAGAGCCTGACAAATGCCAAGTGCTTCTGGACGGTCCACAAACACATGCAAGCCTGGCCATGGTGTGCTATTCACTGCACAGGGCAGGAGCTGGGCTGCATACGCTTCCGTTCCTTAGGGGCTGTAGGCATCGATTTGCCAAGCCAGCCCCAAGCCTGATCTCTCTGCAGTCCTTCCAGCATCCATCACTAAGGCCTCCTTGAGCTCCATGCTGTCAGTACACAGTGAAGACATTCTCTTCTACCTTCAGTTCTGACTTTGCAAGCTCAGTGCCGGGCTGACAAGACCCAGCACCTCTGATACCTCAGCTGTAATCTGGTAAATCAAAACTGAGCTTAGGAGTGCCCTTTCCCAGTTCACTTTGTTCTCCCTGGCATCATGAGTGTCACCCAAGACTTGACTTTAGAAGTTGCTCTTCATTCGCCAGTCTTCGTCCTAACTCATCTACACCCTCCGTGAACAACAGCAAGCGTTCTCACTGGCCTCGGGCATTTCTTCCCGCTCCGGCATGAGTTAAATAAGCCAGCAGATGGATCTTTTTAAAGCTACATTTGTGGTTTGTCTGCGAACCTGTGGCGGTTTTGCTCACCAGTGTTCACAGCCTGTTCGTTTGGCCCTGGATGGGCTTTGATGATCACTCTCTTCCCCGATCTAACTTGTTCAGTTCTAATGACTATGCACCAACCCCTGGCCCCCCCCCGCAACCTACCCTCCAGGACAAACCCCATGCTTCCCTGTAGCCCCCACAGTGACTTTGATCCTACTCTTTTTTAATTAAATTTTTATTTTTTATGTTAATTACAGTTTATTTACTTTGCATCCCAGCTGTAGCCCCCTCTCTCATACCCTTTCAATCCCACCCTCCCTCCCTCATCTCCTCCCTGACCCTCTCTAAGTCCACTGATAAGGGAGGTCCTCCTCCCCTTCTATCTGACCTTAGCTTATCAGGTCTCTTCAGGACTGGCTGCAATGTCCTCCTCTGTGGCCTAGCAAGGCTGCTCCTCCCTTGGGGGTGAGGAGGTCAAAGAGCCAGCCACTGAGTTCATGTCAGAGACAGTCCCTGTTCCCCTTACTAGAGAAACCCACTTGGATGCTGAGCTGCCATGGGTTCCATCCGAGCAGGAGTTCTAGGTTATATCCATGCATGGTCCTTGGTTGGAGAATCAGTCTCAGAAAAGACCCCTGTACCCAGATATATTTGGTCCTTGTAGAACTCCTGTCCTCTCCAGGTCTTACTAACTCCTCCTTCTTTCATATGATTCCCTGAACTCTGCCCAAGGTTTGGTTATGAGTCTCAACATCTGCTTTGATACACTGCTAGGTAGAGTCTTTCAGAGGCCCTCTGTGGTAGGCTCCTGTCCTGTTACTTGTTTTCTCCTACTTCCAATGTCCATCCCATTTGTCTTTCTAAATGAGGATTGATCCCCTTCAATTAGCTTCTTCAGGTGTTTAGCTTCTTTAGGTGTACAGATTTTAGTATGTTTAGCCTATCTTTGATCCTACTCTTGCTCCTGTCCAGAACCTGCCTCACTACCATGCAGATTTGCCATTGTCACGACACACCTTCTCATAAATCCCAAAACCCAGCTACATTCCCCCACCACGTCCCAAGGTCTCCAAGGGTTCTCACACTATACATCGCTTGCCGTGCTCTCCTGTTGTCAAACTTGCGTAAGTTGAGATCTGAGCTCTAAAAGACAGAAGCTGGGAAGCTGCATTTCTACTTATTCAAATCTCATTTTGGCAAAGATGGACCCAACATCAGTGAGGACCCTGACACGAGACCTGGCACACGGATCAGGCCTACCTCCTGCTGCGTGGGCAAGCGCCTAGGCCAGCTCCAGCTATAACACTCAGGACTTCGCTAGGCTTTCAGAAGTGCTTGTTAAATGTCAAATTAAAAAGATTTAAACTAAGTCAAATCCCTTTCGTGCCACAGGCTCCTCTACCTTAGCACAGAAATCGCTACTGTAGTCATGTCAAGTATAACCTACTAGGCTGTCACTACGAAGTCCCCACGAGAGACTATGTCTGCCCCCACAGCTGCCTAAGGGTTAGCAACAGCTCACACCCTCGGAGCAAACGGGGTCTTGACTCTGGTACAGATCCCTGCAGGAAATCTGAGAGGCCAAGTGTCCCTTCTGTTGACCCGCCAGGTAAAGCGAAGGCCCCACGGAGAGCACAGCTGCCCTTCAGCCAGCGCTCAGGGAGGGAGCAGGCCTCTAGGACTTACCCTCACACAGTAGTTCAGACCGGTCCCCAACAGGTGCTGCAGAGCGTGCCGGTCCTGCTTGCTCCTGAGGGTCTGTTCTCCAGGGCCAGGCGGTGGACAAATATCAGAAGGCAAGGAGACGACCCTGCGACCCACCTGGTCCGGATGTGATGGAGGTGCAGGCTCAGTCCTGCTCAGACTGAATTCCGGGGACGGTGGGTTGCTCTGATCCTGGTTCTCTTGAAGCTTCTGCCGGGGCACCTCTTTGGTACCCAGGCAAAAGGTTTTCAGACTCAGAAAAGTGATTGGGTTGGCCAGCTTCATGCTTGCCATACGCGGAATCAAGGTGCACAGCGCTGTGGGGCTCTCCTGGGCGTGCGCAACGGCATCTTCAGCCGGCAGGTGAGGGGCCAGGGCTGGGTGGGGAGGCGGCGTGGAGCCCTTGTTTCCGACCGAGCCTTCCGGGCTCGCTTCGTCCAGAGACGTGACGGACTCGTTCCGAAAGCGGCTGTACTTGGCCCTGTGAAGCATCCCCAGGTGTCCAAAGAGTCCTACATACAGCGCGAGTCCTGCCTGGCTGTCCTGGCTGCGTTCTCGCATAGCCGTGGCGGGGCAGAGACGGGGCGCCGAAGCCTCCACTGCCTCGCCGTCCAGTGGACCCACAGCACAGCCACCCTCCCGGGTCCCCCAGCTGGACAAGGGTGACAGCCCAGGAGGACGCCTCCCCGGCCCTGGCTGCAGCCCTTCCCGGCCCTGGCAGAGGCCCCCGGGGGGGGGGGGGGTGTCCTCGCACCCGAGTTCCCCGGGCTGGGGTAGCGGGTGCCGCCACGCCTCTAGCCCTGAGCAGAAATAGTCACACACACCCCTCCTTTCCCTCTGCGCGAAGGAACTTTCAAACCTGCTCCCTCCAGCTCCCACGGGGCGGGGCAGCGACCGGCCCCGTTAACCCTTTATTTGTTCCCGCGATTGTTCATTTCAAAGAGGGAGAGAGAGAAATAAATAAATAAATAAATAAATTATATTAAAAAAAAAAAAAAAGCACACAAGAGTCAAAGGCCCTTCTGTGCGGGCCGGGGTTAGGACGGCTGCCCCCTCTCGGAGGATCTTGGTTTCCGGGCCGCCAGCCAGGAGCCCTAGCGGCGGGCGCTGGTCCGCATTGTTCCTCCCGCCTGAGGTCCGGGCATCCTCGCTGCAGCTCGGGTCGGATCCCGGCCGGACCGCCCCTCCTCTGGGCGCAACTTCCCTCCCGGACCCTCCCGCCGTCTCCTTCGGGAGGAGCCCGAGCGTCGTGGCAAGCCTAGCTGGGCGGGTGGTGCGCAGGCTGCTGAAATTTTTATGAATGAACTTTGCCGAATGAATTTCCCTCGTCGTGCGAGAGCTAATAAATCTGTGAATGGAGCTGAGAACAGCTGTAATTGACTGACCGGTTTCGGGGGAGCTGGGGGGGGGGGGGGGGGCTACTGCTTGGTTTTCGTCCAATCAGGCTGCAGCTTCCTGAGTCATGCACCGTGACTCTACTAAACTAGTAGCCGGGAGAAACGAAGCCGGGCGGAGCAGAGGGAGGGTGATAGCTGATGAATGGGTTAAGAGTAAAGGCAGTTTTTGCTCCTGGACCGTCAGTATGCTGGGAAGCAAAAGATTAAAAATCTATTTCCCTTCTTGCTCAGATGGGAGGGGCGAGGGAACAGCTAGAAATTGGATGTATTGTTCCGCGGATATTACGGCATATGGTAGGCAAGAAAGCCTGTGCGAAGGCTAGGTTCATTTATCTTAGAAACGTAATTTTTTTTTTTTAATTGATTGCCGCTCCATCTTCCGTCTGGTGCAATTTCCTGAGCCCATCAAATGCCCGGGGAAGATGACAGTGAAGGCTGAGCGCACAGGAAGCCAGAGCCCCAGCTGGGCAGAGGAAATGCAGGTTCATTCAGGAGCTGAGAGGGAACGCTGAGACCTTGGGGTGGAGGTGGGGTGAAATCCTCAGGGGAGAAGCCGCTGAGGTTGCATTTCTCTGTGAGCCTTGGCTCTAGTACCTGAGACTATTCATGATTTCAAACACTAAGCCAGCAGCCAAGAGAATCTGGGAAGAAGGCCACCTCATCTTCTCACTGACCACAGGCTGCCTTAGTCTCAGCTTCCAGCCAGTGCAGGCATGAGCCGCCTCACCTCCGAGCTTCCATTGCTCTTAGGCTCAGAAAGGCTTTTCAGCATCCTGTCTGCCAACTTTGTTAGAATTTGTTTTTCTTTGGGAAGACCTTTTGTAGCTTTATCCGCCTTCCTTTCAGTCTTTACTGACTTTCTTTTTGCATCTCCACACTTTGCAAAACTGAAGGGAATGGCTAAACCAGAACTCATATTCTGGGGCCGTAGGGAGACAGAATGGAGGTAAGACGGAAATAGTCCCCTGGCGGCCTCTGACTGCTCCCATTCCTCTCTTTCATGTCCTCTGGGTTCCTCCCTCACTTAGGCTATGCCAGTAGAAGGGGAGCCTGTGCCATGACAGCAGCTAGAAAAGAGATGGGTTTCTGGAGTAAAGTTGAACCCCAACTCAGGGAGAACGGAGGGTGGCCAGGAACTTGATCCCCTGAGCTAACCTTGTGACTTTCTCATAAATTCTCAAATCTCACAGGTGTGCAGTTCTGGGAACAAATACTAACCAAAGCCAGTGGTAGACTTGGACAGATGGACATGGTGATGGCTCCTTGGTGATACCAGAACACAAAAGCCACTTTGCCTCTCTTCCTCCAGCTGACCTTTGCTCCGCTGGGGCCCAGAGGCTTAGGGGTGAGTATGAACCCCCTGCTAGATCTCTACTCCAAAGAAAGCAGGTCAGGGAAGGGCTGAAATTTTCTCCAGTGTTCCAGTCTTGATTCCCTACTAAAAATGCTCACTGGTTTCTTGGACCAAAACAAGCTAAAGCAGGAAGCTGGGGATAAAACAGAACTTAGGGGAAAGGTTCCTTTCTGATCCTCTTCACCACTGTGGTCGCAATACAAATATCGTTTCTTCTTGAGAAGCACTGAAGAGTGAGCTGCTAGCTTTGGAAAAATGGAGGTAAATGGCTGTTTCTTCCTCTCCTTTTGCAAAGAGATATTACAGTCCAATGGCAGACTCAAGACCACAACAAGGGGGTCTGCCCAGTTCCAGTTCTCATTTATTTCCACTCAAAGATATTCCCACAGGGATTTGCAGAAATAGCCACCAAGGCTAGAGGGATGGAAGATAGCATTCAAAATCTAACACTGTTTTTGCTTCTTCTTTTTTTTTTTTTTCCTAATTTAATTCTGGTTTTGCTGTAGTGTGTAAAAGGCATGGTATGAGAAAGCTGTCCCCATTCCCAGCCCTACAGCCCATGGGCTGCTCATTTTTGCAGATGTATCCAGGAAAAGGCAGCTGGCTTTGCCACAGTGTGCTGGCAACTGTCTGCTTCTGAAGTTTGAGTTAGTTGGAGGGCCAGTCAATGCCATCTCCACTGGTGACACAGGTGGCCCGCAGGTGCCATTTTCTCTGGTGAGGGGAATGTCAGGCAAATGTATTTGGTATCTGCTGTGTTCCTAGACTTGGGAAGATCCTGCTTGTTCACATACCTCCAGAAAACCATGCTCTAACATTCTGGCTAGTTTTGGATCTGCCCTCTGTCATTACTGCCAGTGTTCTGGAAATGATGTCTTTATAAAGGTCTAATTTTGTCCTGGCCAACAACATCCCAGAGTGTGAAGGTGCTATTTCATGATCCTCCTGTCCCCACAGAGAAACCTGTCATGGGATGGTTACAGCAACCTCTTCCAACTTCAGTTTGTTTAGAGGCTGCATCTAAGCTCACCATGAGAATCCACAACTCCTTTTCCCCAAACAGATTTGTAAGCAGCTTTTCAAAAAATGGTTCCACACTGCAGCTGAATTGTGAAATCTGTCACTACTGTGGAAGGTTCTACAAAGATGGTTATCAATGCCTCTACTCCACAGCTTGCATCCTCTCTCTATTTTAAGATAGACAAACAGAGTCAGGGGATAGATCCACAGACCTCCCATGACCGTCGTTAGGCCTTTGAACCTGAGTTTGGCCACATTTGTAAACCGCTTGAAACATAATGATGCTTTTTGCTTTTAACTTTCTTCATTCTTAGGTTGGATTTTCGCTAGCTGCTCTCCCATGCCTTCTCAACTGTTAATATTTTAAGAGCAGGAAATGTTTCTTTGCTTTCTCCGGGTCCACAAATAGAGACTACTTTGTCGCTGGGTAGCTCCTTCTCAGCCAGTTCTAATTTAGATGGCTTAATGAGATTTGGGACAACTGGGCAGATGAGTTCGATGAGATTCTGGACTTTGACTTGGTAGGCGAGTAAGCAGGAAATTTTGAAGACATTGGGATGAGCTGGGTAGGTGCTGCACATGAAATATGAAAACCTCTAATGGACAAAGAATGAACTAATTAACCTATGAAATATTGATAAATTTGTGTTAGTTAACTTGCTACATTTGTTATAGATTTTTTTTGTTTTAATGGCAATAGAGTGAATTTTTGTGTTACACCAGAAAGAAAAGAACATTTTGCACATGATATTAAGAAAGAAAGAAAAAAAAAAGTAGGCGCAGCCTGGGTTGGAAACTTGACTCTCTTCCTATTCTCCATCAAATCAGATCAAGGTGAGAGAAGAACCTCACATGGGAACTTCCATCCACCAGCCTCTGCCTGGAATTCGTATGGGGAGAGCGAAGATAGACTCACCAAAAGCTCAAGTGTTGGAACAGCTCTCAGGGCAGACCCCTATGTTTTCCAAGGCCACCTACATTCTCAGGTCCTTCAGCATCAGGGAAAAATGAAAAAAAAAAAAAATCACAGGCCACTACATAGTGTGTGGGTCGTGGCGAAGGCAGTCCTGAGCCAGTCCTAAAGGCATGTGAGTACGAATTACAAGAAAATAAATCCCAGATGATGGGAAGGTTGGCTTCGATCCGGGACTGCAGAGATGTAGTTTGCAGCCTGGAGTACTCTGTGCTGTGTGGGCAGTTTGCAGCGCTGCAGACAGGAAGCTCTGGCTGGGCAGCCTTGACTGAGGCCAGACGCAGGATCAGTAGTGAGGTGACCACAGCTAGTTCAGCAGAAGTCTTACGGAATCACCCTGGCGAGTAAGTTCTAGAAAGGGCCAATAAAATGTTTTGTTTTGTTTTGTTTTGTTTTGCAAAATGTTGGAAAAGGTGGGTGGCAAGAAGGGCCGTAGTCGCGGCATGTGGCGTCCGTGTGCTCGTCCATAACTCCAGCTGAGTCAAGAGGCTGAAGCAGGAAGAGCCTGGCTTCAGGTCCTGTCTGGCCTACACAGGATCCGAGGCCAGCCTTCACAACTTCACAAGAGCCTATCGCTAAACACAAAGTAGGAAAGGGGCCAGTGAGACGAGCTAGCGGAGAAAACTACTCGGCTGCCAAGCCTGATGACGACCTGAGTTTCCAACTCTGGGACCCACGCGATGAAAGAACAGCTGACCCCTGCAAGTTTTCCTCTGACCTCCACATGCACACACACACACACACACACACTAAATAGTAAACAAATGGGGCTAGAGATACGGCCCAAAGTTAAGAGTACTAAACCTGGATTCCCAGC